AGAATTTGTGCCTGTTCATAATATATCTTGACTCTTTTTTCCCATCCCCCTTACCTCCCTTCATCTTGTGTTTTGGCTTGGGAAAAACACCAGTTTTCAGCCAAGAGTTTCATAATCTATACTGAAAATTTCCCTATTTGTAAGTTTCCAAGAGTAATGGAAAAATCAACCCAGCAAGAACAAGCTCATCTTTACCATTCTTCTGGAAAAAGCTGTGCCCGTGTCTGTGTGGCCTGGCCTCCCTGGGCCCCATAGGATGTAGTGGCCTCTGTCCTAATCAGCAGTATTCAGCATCTGCCCTGGTACCAGTCAAGTGATACAAGGTCACTCTGCCACTGAGCGTTTACCTGAACTGACACTACAAGGTGTAGGATTTGTTTTCCCCACAGTCTTAGTACTCTGTGTACATCCTGAGAAGCAGCCCAGCCTCAGGAATATGCAGAGTTTTGGCTCTGACAGACTGCTTTTTACAGAGCTGTATCTTGGCATAGCTGGAAGTGGCTTCTTAGATTGTCACTCTGTGCTGAGATGTTGTGAAAGTCAAGCCCTTACATCATTTGATTTCTAACTAGGAGGAGTCATGCACAAATTCTCAGGCATAAGAATCTATTCTCAAGCAACCTTATTTTTTTTTCATTTGATGAACACTTCAAATTGAGTGATGATTTCACCCTCTTTTTGTTGCCACTAAGGGAGTTCAGAGATAATTTTGATCTCCTTTATCCTGGGAGGTCTAGACCTAAGGGCATATGTAAGGTTACGATTTCCTTATGTATAAAATTCTGCTTTAACAAGATGAGTGACTTCATTTTACTACTCCAGACTAAAGTAGGTGACCTAAATGCAATGACTTTTTCCTGCAGGGTTCTATTGGATGATTTAAGGATAGTGGCATGTTTATTTTAGAAATTAAAAGGTTGCTTTTGACTGCTTTGTTTTGGTTACACTTGGTGCTCAACTTTTGAAAACAAATTGGAGAACAAAATAAAAAGACTCTTTATGCTCCTTTTTTTTTTTTAAGCTCAGATTTTGGTTTTGGGTCTTTCTTGGGTAGTATTAGTAGTTTTACTGGATATATGTTTTAAAAGGAAGCCGTGTTTGGTAATTTTCCTCTTATCTGTTCTTGGGGAGGCAGTTGAGTCAACACTTGAATGTAGACACCATTTTTAGAAAAGAAATACGATCTTGGGTGAACTTTGTGAAGTAGAAGCTGATTCCTTGTCTGGTCTCCAGGGCCTGGTTTCTCCAGAGCAGTAACGGTAAGGAGCCAACTGACTATAAAGACCACCCCAGGACAGGCCAGACTCCAGGAGCCTGAATGTGTCTCTGGCGGATGCACAGTCTTCGCACGTGCTCTCACCGGCCTCTGCCTCCTGCCCTCCTCTCGGGCCCATGGCTCCCTTCTCAGGGCCTGCATCTCATCTGCTGCCCTATAAGTAAGCATGCAGTGCCTGCCCCAAGGAGCTAACTGCACTGTATGTGGGCTGTTCTTAGCGGGCCACTTTGGTGCCAACCATCTGATCAGGTCTCTGGCAAGCTGTTTTAGAAATGGGAACAAGTGACTTGAAGGAGCAAGAGGTTTCTTACAGCATCGTAGAAGGCAAGAGGGACCCCTTCTCATATTAGTCACTTTTCCACCCTCCCCCTTCCCTTAGAAGGAAAACTATGGAACAGGGCCCCAGGGAGTCAGCCAGAGCGGAAAGGCACACAGGCACAGCTCTGATAAGCACAGCTGTGAGGGAGCCTTGCTCCAGGTTTTCAGAAGCCTGTCCTCTGTGCAGCACGACAGAACACCTATACTGGACTTATGAATGCTTCTATACATAAACTCACTGCTCCCCTTCCTCCCATTTCACAGAATTCATAGAGCACAGTTACACAGGAAAGTGAGGACAGAAATTGGGCTGGATGGCGTATGCCTACAATCCAGCACTCAGAGATGAAGCAGGAAGAATACAAGTCCACGCCTAGTCTGAGCAACTTAGTAAGACCTATTGTAAAGTTAAAAGACAAATGGAAAAAGACCTGGGAATATAGCTTAGTGTGAAGGCCTTGGCTCAACCCCCTGGAGTAAATACAGTAATGAGGGAGAGGCACTCACTGCAGCAGGAAACCAGTGTGAGAACAGAACATGCTGGATGATGAGTCTTCTTAGCAGCTTCTGAGGTCATTTCATGTTATATGTTGAGTTCAGCATACAATTTTTAAACTGAATGGAAACTATTATGTAACAAAATCATGTGTTCTAAGTAGGAGTTACCTACTTGGTAGTCTTTGTTTAGTAAAAATTAGAGAGATCCAACATGCTTCTTGATTTCCACCACTGTTTGAAAATTCATCAACATGTATTTGAATTTTTCAGATCTATCCCGAGTGACAAATACAACCATTCACTTCTGCCTATTAAAGCCTTGGTTTGGAAGGAATGCTTCTCATCCCTAAACAGTATCCAAAGTTTTAAGAAAGGGAAACTAAACAAAAATTTGGATGTTGTGGTGAGGATATCTTAGTTATGATGTGGGAGCGTATTATGAGGTTTCCAAGCCTTCTCTCAAAAACAAATTGAAAATGTTCTGGGGTAAAATTCACAGTTCCTTTTTTCTCTGTAAGTCCAGCTAATTGGACCATCAGGCTCCTGAATCTATCTTGACATAACTTAGCCCAGAAGACACTAACACAGTCAGGTACAGTGACACACACTCATATCCCAGCTACTTGGAGACTGATGAAGGATGATCATCCATTTGAAGCCAACCAGGGAAACTTAATTCAATCCTCACTACTTCTGAAAAACAAAAACAAAAACAAAAACAAACAAAAAAAAAGGAACTATCATGTAAACTAATTTTCTGTGATTTTTCTAGAACATCTTTCAAACTGGTAAAGGTTATTTCACAACTCGCCACAGTTCACCCATATAATGAATACACTGGATTGGAAGAGAACATACTTAGTAGTAAGCTGTGACTTGGGGTCAGAACACATTTATGAGAACTTTTCATTACTCTCTAATTCCCAGTTTCATTTAAGCTGTCAGATTTGACCAAAACCTTTTAATGACTAACAGAAACATATCCTTTGTAGATAACCTTCAAGACCCAAAGAGATGACATAGTGTAAAAATACAGGGGACATCTGCTTTCAGAAGGAAGCTGTGTGCTTAACTTTACAAGTCTCTGACAAAGAACACATTGAGGTACTGGGCTGGTTTTTACTGAAAATCATAAAGTAAAGGGGCATTAATGTGTCATTACCCTTTAAACTGACTTAATTTACACCCGGTCTTGATAAAGGAGCTACAAAACACAAGAAACTCATTTAAGAAATTACAACTTGGCAAGCTAAAAAGGCGTAACATTTTCTTTCAGTGGAGTGAGAAGAAAAGGCAGTCAACAAATTAACTTCAGCTGGGTCTTCCATGCTGCTGGCACTCCTGCACCGACACAGGCAAGCTCAGCCTCTGCAGAGTACCTTCTGTGTACCTTCTGTGCACACCACCTGTACAGAGGTGGGGTGCAGATCAGGGCCAGGGGCCCTGCCTTTGGGGAGTCTTAGAATCCAAATTCCTGGTGCCACATGAGGCTCCTCCAGGAATCAGTGTGTTTGCTTTTCAAACTTTGGTTCCCTGTGGGCAGAATAAAGCAGCATTCTTGTAACGAATGGAGAACATCTTTTAGGAGTTCCCAGTACCGTAAAATAGGAGCTGTGAGACATCCAGAGAAGTGCTCCACTCCAACGCTTGTGCTGTCTATCAGTCCTGCTTTAGTGCTGAGACACTGAGTGAGGAACGTTTACGAGTGGTAGCAGCCGTAATGATCATCACAGTTGTGTTCCGGCAGTTAGAAGAATGAGAGGTCTTGCAACTATGTTTAATTTTATGTAACTGACATTTTAAAACTCAAATTTAATGGAATTCTATTATTTGATTCGCAAGCTTCTCCCTAGTACCAGTAGCAACACATTAAATTTCTAGGAAGATCTCAGACTTAATAAGATAAAAGCAGCATTTTTTAAAAAACCATGTTTTGAATTGTGGGTGATAGGTTTACTAGTCTATCTTGCCTTTAAGATGAATCCCATTTACTTTTTACTTTTACTTAGACTACTTGTGTCTGAGGTCCAGGGTTTAAAGCACCAGTATTGGTGAGCCAAGTGAGAAATATGTGTCTTGAGGACAAGACTCCACAAAAAGCCAGGCAGTGTGCTGCGGGAGAGAGATGCAGAGGAGGATGACTGGGAGAGTACTTGTCTTCCATTATTTCCCCTACTTCTTTGCTTTCACTAAAAACAAACACACACAAAAAATAACTGCAGCATTGCCAAAGGATGGTACAGGAACACAACTGGCCTCTAGGTGGTGCCTGAAAGCAATTTAGGAACGGTTGAGACCTTTCTGGGTGGAAAGGGTACTGAGGGCATCTCTTCCTGCACCTGTATGCTCCAGAGCTAAGTCTTCAACAGACCGGGATCTGCGCTACAGTCTCTGCAGGTGGCTAAGGGGGCCCCTTTAATGTATTCCCTGTCGGACATTCCTGTGCCTACGAATTCATACTCCATTCATAGTTTGTGTTAATAATTCATCACTGTTGACTAAACGGACAAGCAGAAGCACATTTAGAGAACTTTTGCCTATCAGGTTCTTTCAATAAAACTTAGAAATATCCACCTGATTCTCCCTCAGGCTTCCATTTACCTAGCACTGTCCTGTCTTAGACTGAGCAGGCTGGCTCTGCAGGAAACAGGATTTTGTTTGCTTGGGAATGCCTTATTTTTGTAAATTTTTTTTGTAAAGTCTTTAAAAAAATGGTATGATAGCCGCCATATATGATACCAAATAAGAACTTGTAATTCTCGTTGAAATTCTAACCATTAATTAAAAACAGACACTCCATTTCCCTGTGTCAACATAGGCAGATGCGTGAATCCACACAAATCTCCTATCACATATACATACTCACTGAAAAGAGAAATTTTAGCATAAAAAAAGCGGAATCTAGATCCACATTTTAACATATACTTTTTTTATTAAATATGTAAAAAGATCAACGCAAGTCAAGTTATTCACATATTCAGACAAAAAACTATTCTACCATGCGACAATAGGTGGGTAATGTAAAATGAATGTGATACATCTGAATAAGACTTTTCATCTAGTATGTCATTACTTATCTATATTTATAATTAACAATACATATGTTTACATTCCTTTCAGTTTACATTTAATATATAACAAAAGCTTTATGGTGTACTATTTAGTAAAAGTAATCTGAATGCATATTAAACCGTAACGGAATAATGGAAATACTCACCAGGGAAGGGAGGAATTCTTGGTTCCCTTCTGGAGTTTACTTCTCTTGGGTCAATAGGGTGTTTGTCTGTTTTTCCTGCTTTTCTGCTTAGAATGAACATAAGCTTTCTCTTTACCCCCTGCTTCGATCACTTCCAATCTGACAGTGGCAATGGAAGTGCTATAACCAGCCAACAGTGGGCATGAAGTGATACTAAGAAATCATCTTGAGATGGCGGAGCAGGGCACACGCCCAGGAATACCTGTCCACCCGGCACAATGCTGTGACTGGGGATGGGGCAGGGAGGAACACACGCCCTAAGTGATGAGAGCATGATGGGGCCCCACCTCCCAGGAGTGTGCAGTGGTTTACAGTGGCAGGGGTGACAGCCAGAGAAGACTGAAACATAGCTGACTAGAGCACCCAAAGCATCCATGACATTATCTAGGGTGCAGCAGGACAACATTTTTAAGATGGGACAGAAAGAGGAATTCACAGCTCTAGTCTGCCCCAAACCACTGAAAGAGTGGAATGTGGTTCCTGGGAGTGCTCTCTGCCAGTACAGCTTCAAAGGTTGGGGAGTTGGTTCAAGTCATCAGGGAGAGATACGGAAACTACATGGTATCAAGTGGTTCTGGAGAAGATGGGATCCTGACTGCCTGCTATTTGTGCACGTGCACCCACATGATAGGAATGTGGTCATGAACCACCTGGAACTGGGTATTACTAAGATGTCCAGGGCAGATGAAGAATATCCCAGGAACCACAGAAAGTATCTGTAAGGAGTTATTTATTGTGCCTCTTTACAAGGGCTATTTTTATAGTCAGTGAGTACAACAGGTTAAGGGGGCAATACACCGTTAAGCATGATGTTGTAAATAGCACAACCATTACCTATAAACAGGTGTGGGAGGATGTCACTGCTGGGAGCCAGGCTTTCTAGCCTGAGAAATGAGCTGCCACTATAGTGCAGAGCAAGCAGGAGAGAGAAAAAAGGGAAACCAAACACCACGGAACATCTGTCCAATTCTGCACAGTGTGTTGTAATAATCTCAAAAATACAAGCCATCTTTTCCATACATAACTCAATAAATACCACTTTGCTGCAAATGATTTATTTCGGAAAGACTTCTTTTGGTGCAAAGCTTCAATGCTAGAATTTAGAATCATTCCATCAATTAATACAGAAGTTTCAAGGTTTTATGATACATTATTCAGAAATTTAAGCTTTTCAATTAAGCAGAGATCGGGTTGGGGGCATCTGTTTATTTTTGCTGCACCTGCTAATAAGAAAGTAAATCTAAAGTTAGGAATCAACGGAAATGAATGATCCAGGAAGGGAGACTACTTGTCAAAGGGGAGGAAATGAGGCAAAAGATTCTGGAAAGAGACTAAGAAAAATGTGCAAATATTAGTTAAAAAAATAAGGAATGCTTTTAATTCATTAATGTTTCCTCTGTTTATGAATTGCCATGGTTTAGCAAATGTCAATGACAAGGAGGGCCCTTGTGTTGAAGAGGGGAAATTCCTCGTTCCAGAAGTTACTGGGAGTCATAGGTTTTTCTGTGCTGTTGATCCAGTGTCAACACCAGACTGCAGAACTGTGACTTTCCCTTGGAACTAATACTCTCCTATGACTGAGGTCTTCGCTTCCAGCCTTTCAGCCAGTGTGCAAGCTGCCGCTGAGCCTGACGCAGCGCAGGCTGCGCTCTGGGAAGTCGCCCTTTGGCAGGAACCCCTCGTGTGAGCGACGGGATCTGGTTTGAAACCCACGTGAGGAGGAGGAGAAAAGGAGGAGGGATGAAGCAGGAGGATCTGTAGCTACCAAGACCCCCTCTGAACTGAACATAACTGATGCCATTCTGGGGAAGGTGGCTGCCCACCAAGGAGGACCCTGAGAAAGAAAATAACATGAGAACCCGGGAACAACTGCGAGGGGGCGGGAGGGCGAGAGGGCAGGAGCGCGCAGAGAGGGCAAAGTTGAGATGGTGTTTTCCTTGAGTGAATGTCTTTCAGAACTAACAACATACTGCCTGGTTGTCTAACATGCTGCTCTAGGAACACTGCTGGCTGGGCCTTGAAGTCCTAAGCTTCGAATCAGTTTCTTTCCTTTTACTGTTGTGAGTAGAGGGACAAACTGACCCTATGTTTTTCCCTACGACACAAGTCACTGTCATTATGGCTTTCATATCAAGTATCTGTTTCCCTTTGTTCCAATTACTTGACCAAATTTATGTTCAGAAGTTAGACTTGCAAACATCAAAGCACCACAAATGCATGTGACATCTAGTGACACTGGGTTGAGAAATGCCAATATAAATACCATATATCAAATTACCATTGTTTCACACCAGGATAAAAAGGGGTGGTGATGGTGGTGGTAGTTTTGGGACAGGGAAGAGTTGTTCTGGAAAGAAATGAGGAAAAGAGCAGAACCAATCTCAAGCAGCCAAGTGAGTTGAAGGTATGTGACCCTATGATCTCTCAGGTAGGCGGCCAGGATGGCCGTCTGCTAATGCATCTTGGCAAAGGAAATGTGAACCAAGTGCAGGGCTGGCGTATGCAACAGTGCACTGATGGTAACGGCAGACTGGGAACAACTGGTTTCTCTTGAGCTTGAGGCCGCACATTCCAATTCTCCAGAAGAAAAGTTCCCATGCACAATGGAAGTGTCATGAGCTGCCAACACGGTTCAGTACTCTTCCTGCTGCTGGGCCTGCTGGTCATGGGCTTGCTCCTCTGCTTCCGGCTCTTCTGTGTGGCCTTCCTGTGGGGCAGAGAAGTTTCAGCTGAAATAACTTACTGTGTCTGAGGCCTGACAGGGTCCCAGGCCACAATCACCGCACAGGGTGGTGTTGCCAGGCTGTGGAGATACCAAGCTCAGGCCCAGCTCACGTGCAAGTGTCTCCCAGCTCCTAGTGGCCAGCACACAAGCCAGGATGCCTTCACATCCCTGCGCCATCAGAGGACAATGGCTATGGAAAGCACGGCCATGTTGGAAGACTTCCCTTCCAATAGGCGTAGAAACAAGTCTTCCTAGAACGTAACATGTATTTTCCTAACCTCTGTAAGAGGGTAACCAATCACAGCGACTCCACAGCATCACGAAAGCCATGAACGAGCCCACACCTCAGGCTTCTGTTTGCCCTACACTAACGGCCCATGAGATGGTTCTTCTGATCCAGTTTGTTTCCCCCTTAGCTGTCATTCTTCTTGCTTGCCTGCGTGTCTGCCTGAAGCAGATCCTGTTATAATTGGTCACTAATCTGATGTGGATTTAGAAACCAGAGAAGTAACCTGTCAGAGTTTCTGAGATGAAGAAAGGATAGGGGCTCTGTTTCAGGGGCTGCCTCAGGTGAGGAGCCCCTTCTCAACAGACAGTGCAGGAGTTTTGGCTCAAGGACTTCGGGACATACGTTTAGGGTGCTGCCAGCCCTCCTGGCTTACATTCTGGTCACCGACTGTGAACCAGGTAAGTAAGGTGGTTCCTCTGCTTGGTTCCCAATGTATTTCCTCATATGCCTAATTCAGTGAAGAACATCATGAATGACAACTTAGCCCAAGTTGCAAATTCTTCCACTTTTTGACCTCATAAGGAATAATCACTATCCACTGCACTATCCAAGCAGAAGAGTGAGGCCAATGAGTAACAGCCAACTGCCTCCTGAATACGGCCAATGAGTAACAGCCAACTGCCTCCTGAATACAGGGCTTTGGGATGCAGTCTGGCATGTACACTGGCACATGCAGAATCACTCATGACATCACACACCTGGTACCTCAGCTCCCCACATCCAAACCATCTTTCCCTATCTAAGCCCTACTCCTTGATGCTAGGGACAAACCTGTGAAGATCCTTTCCAAATACACTATGATCATCTCTCCAGATCCCTGAGCCAGAATAACAGCTCTCCCTTCTCCTGCAGCAGTCTGTTCTTCCTGGATTATAAAACTCTGACTTGGAATCTTGTTTGTCTTTAACCTTTTGGCCCATCCACCCGATCTGGAGGTTCTAAAATCATGGGCTGGGCTTCATGAAACTGTGATGCACTTCATCACTACTCCATTTGACACAAGTTGTGTGGAGAGGAAGGGAACAGAGGGCTCAGGAGTGGATGACTAAGCCTGTCAGACTAGCAGTCAAGGCCACACAAGGAGTCTTCTCTGAGAGGCAGTCCAATGTGAAGGTTAGGAGCGTGGCCTCTAGAGTTCAAATCCCAGTTCCGCTACTAATCTGCAGCGAGACTTAAGGCATGCAATGTAACCACTCTGTTATAGCTTTCTTATCTGTAAAGTGGGGGACAATAAAGAGTCCCTATGTAACTGAGTTTTCAGTGTGTTTCACTGATTAATGAACCAATGGATTCAATGAATCCAACTGAGGATTTTATGAGCAAAATGCCTAGAAGAGTTTTTGGCACATAGTAAATATTTTAAGTGTGAGCTGGGCCTATGATTTCTTATGAACTCTTTGGAACATATTCTAGATATACAAATAGTTATTTTTAAAAACTCTTTCTATGGAAAGTGATGTGGTACTGAAGGCTGAGGATCAAATGTAGTACTCTTCTTTCCTGGCTCCATACCAACAGGCACATTACTTGCTAAATATGAGCTTTCCCCATGTCCACGCCTAGGTCCTGTTATCACCTCCCAGAACTGTTCTGTTCTGGAAGGTTGATCCCCAAAAACCTACTCATTGACCACCTCCTGCTATCCTTCTGACCCTCAAAATCCTTCATTCCTTATTACCCGATACTCTGCGGGTCCACAGCACCACAGGGTCCTTCGGCTGTGCTCCTAGCAGCATCCTCTGCCACTGGCTTTGACCACTGCTTGTCGTACATGAAGGTGGTCTTCTCAGCTCAAGAACTGCCTCAGCTGACAGTTGCACTCTCACAGGGAACAGGTGGGTATCACAGTAGCACTGTGAGGGCTGGGAGCTCCGTATAGTGCTAAGTGCAGATAGGAAATAGTACTGGCTTCTGTGCAGACAGGAACTCTCCTCTTGTCTGGGGGATGAAGGAAACTAATGTCTGCAGGACTTTAATGGGAAGGTACACTGGCACTGATTGTCTGTTGTGCCATGGGTTCTTCTACGTTAGGAAAACACCCTGAAGTCATCTCCCTACCTTCGTCCCCACCGAATGGCTCCTCTATGCTCCATATCTCTTATTCTTGCTTCTGGTAGAGGTGTACCTGGCTGTGAGTGATCCTATCAGGTGGAGGGATGCATGTCTTCCTCTTGGCCCGGGCTGCAAGGCCCCATGTTGGGATGTGCTCCTTATTCTTCATAACTCTCCAACCTAGTCTGGCGTCTTCCTGATTGCAGTGACTGAGCTTTAGCTGCTATGAGGTAATTCTTCTTCTTATGTAATTGTTTTTGTGCATGTTAAACTGCTAAAGAGAAGGTCTCAGAAACAGAGGATCTGTTTTACATTTCACAGAAAATTCTGTCCCAGTTGGGAGTTAAGTGTGGAATAATGGAGTTAACCCAGAACTAAAAATTGGAAAAGCTGAATCCAAGGGACTGTTTAGCCTATAACATGCTACAGGAACAAGACCCACTAAATATGGCTCCTAAGGCCTTCTTCTCAAATATGCTGAACAACAAGGGGAGGGGCGTGTCATCCTTTTCTATGGCTCTGAGGTCCTCCTCTGGCTGAGGGTAGCTCTGCACACACGCTGGGCCGAAGTCGCAGGCATAGGAAACTGATGGTGACATTAGACATCTGGAGGAACAGCAGACTCCAGGCCCTGCTTACAGCATTGGGCAATTCTGACATGAGGAGCCAATCCTCCAGTTACCCATGGATACTAATGCTCAGGGTGCATGTTAAGGCATCCAGAAATCATGGCAGCACGTTTCTGTCCTTCTGAGATGTTGCCTGTCACTAGCAAGAGCTCCCAGCCCTTACAATGCTATTGTGGGTTCCCAGAAAAACAAAATGAAAAAATACTTTCTAAAGCCCCATAGGAGAATAAAGAACTTTAAATTCTACCTGTGGGTTTTAAGGGGGAGGCTAGGCAAAACCTCTGCCAAGTGTGGCACTAATAACCTTAGGAGGCATCTACTTAATTTTAAAATTTCCTATCAACCCCTTACATTGCTATGGATGCTGAGTTGTGAGTGTTATTAATACTTCTTTGCTTGTATTGTAATTGCTAGAAAAGAGAAGCAAGTTGGGACAGTATTAAAGAGGGGTCCTGGTCACCGTGGGAGGTAAAACAGGGAGCAAGGAGGGAGGAGGGGTCCTTCAGGAGCGCAACGGCTCCTACAGGAAGGAAGCAGCATCAGCCACATCACCACTCACGCCAGACAAAGCTGGCTATTCTTTCCTCTCTGCTTAGTTTGTGCAATTCCTCCTGCTGACAAACACTCTTCCCATCCTGGCTGTACAGCTGTTGATATTCCTGGCCATCCTCAACATCCAGTACAGTGGCATCTTTTCTGTGACAGCTCTGCTTGCCCCTCAGGAGGTTTCTATGTATGCCTACACAAGTTTATGTAAGTCTCTGCTATCACGATGATATGATCTGACAGTCTGCAGTTAGTTGTGCCCGTGGCTTGCTCTCTCCTTTGGACTCAGCTCTCCTGATGGAGGGGCTATGCTTTTCTCTGTGTAGGAAGAGCATCACAGAGAGGATTGTAAAACCCCTCTAGCGACAGAAATGCACAATCAAAAAGCACTGAGAAGAGAGGACATCTTTTTTCTGTTCCCCAGTATGGTACTGAGGATTGAACTGAGGGCCTTCACACTGAGCTACATCCCCAGTTATTTTTATTTTTAGCATTTTTGTTTTGAGGCAAGGTCTCACTAAGTCACCCAGGCTAGGGCTGAACTTGTGATCCTCCATCTTCAGCCTCCTCCCATACTTGCATTACAGGAATGCGCCACCACACCCAGCTGGAAGAAAGTCTTCAGATTATTTTAACAGTGACTTCTGTGACAGCTGGTATCTCACGAAACAAGTGCCTCTTTATAAACTGGCACAATCCAGGTGACAGAACCTACAGGGAATCAGGTAGCCAATGATGAAGCGCAGATACCTGTGGCCCCAAGAATGGTAAGATAATGAGACAGTCACTGAATAGCCAGCTGGTGATTTGCTCTGGAAACTACCATTAGGTCTCTACATCTGGGACCTGAATAACCTGTTGACTTCATTACTCAGAACTCCCAGTTGGATTTTCATATCTTCCAAGCATCACACTTTAAGATTCCTTGAGTATAATAATCAGAGACTGGTTGCTACCAAATAAAAATATAAGTCATCACTTAGGGGAAGCGATCCCTCCCACCAAAAACTCCTACCTGAAAAGCCAACCTGTGTTCATCTAGTCTAAATGGAGAGCTCACACAACAATCGAGCCCTTGATTCTTTAGCATCTTGACAACCAGGAATCTCTGCCATCTCAGGTTGCTATCCAGTCAGACCAACAGCATCATGAACATAGTACTGACATCACACACACCAGACCTGTGCATACATGCAGGAATAGCTGGCTCTGGTGGGCAGCAAGGTGGTGCTGGAGTGTATGGCGGTGGTGGGAACAACACTGAACATGGTCAGTGTTGCTCCCTGGAGTCACACCCTGGAGCAACAGTGCCTGGCCAGGCCTGGCCTGCCTATCCTCAGCCAGGAATTCAGCGGCTCAGGTCAGCTGCAGGTCTGGCATAGAATCAGAAGCCTCTGTTACTGGAAGCACAGGCCTGGGGAGGAGATGCGAGCCTGCCTGCCGAATTCCCTACAGCTTGCAGGCATCACAGACTGCAGCTCGTGTGCCTGGTCTTCTGGCGCTGTGCAGGTCTCATCTGAGTTAGCCCCAGACAAGCTCACGAAGGCAATATCCCAACTGATCTTGTGCCTGACAAGTCTACAAAGCAGCCTGCACACCCAGAACGTTACGAATATGTCCCTTGTGGTCACAGACCACACCCACCTCTGGCTTCTTCTACCAGAAATGAATATAGTAAGAACTATATTTTGTGAAGCCATCTCAGCCTCAGGGACCTAACCATGCAGATTCCCAGTGCTGCAAAGTCTACATTCTGAGCGACTGGTAACCAAGAAAGGAGCTTCAAAAGCAACAGCAGGGAAATGACAAAAGTGGTGGTGAGCTCCCAAAGCCCAGACACAGCGCCTTACAGCTGAAGCAAATTTCTTTGCCGGGATTTTAAATCTCAAATAGAATATATGTTGCCTGTTATTCAACTACAGTAAGACAGAGTAAACTTGCTGGTGGCTTTCACATTCTGTGAAAACAACAACAGACATGCATCTGTACCCCAGCATCCTGAGGGTCCACAGGATGTCGGGTCAAAGAGACCCAAGCACTACCACCAGCTTCAACTCAGTATACAGAGCCACTTAAACCCAGAGCACCCTAGTCTCTGGCTCCACGGAATTCAGCTCCATGGAAGGTGACACTCCACCAGCTCCCACTTCCGATTTTGGGTGCCAGGCCTCTCCTTCCCCACAAGGGCAGACTGGGCCAATCCCTCCCCACTGCCCATTGTTCCTCCATGCTTTGCACATCTGCTTTTTATCGCTCGATGGAGCCACATCCCCAGCATATTCTCTCATGAACAGCAACTCTGGTGACAAGTCCTCCCCACAAAGGAGGCCTGAAGAGGTATTTTTAATAAAGGGCTGCCTCTGGGTTCTGGCCTTCCTGACAAGGAGTTACCAAGACAACCAGCTATGTGATAAAAACAGAAGGCGGTGGGGCCTTCAGTGAAGGGGAAAGTATCTAGATTATTCTCTTCTTTAACTGTATTCTGATCTCACATGAAGAAGAATGTTTACTGCTCCTTTGCGCAGAGAACAACCTCTTGGGATCTGGCCACACAGGTGCATTTCTTCTGAAGCCCCACCTTTATCCATCTCTTCCCGACTAACTTACAGATGTGTGTCCCACAGGCCCGGATCAGTGGATCACGACAACAGTGACATACATTCCTCTGGGACTGTCAAGTGCAGTGGCTGAGCATTCAAGGACTTACGGATCCACTGGACTCTGACCCGGAGGGCTTGGCACACTTACCTGTTCTTCTGAAGCATACAGCACTTCCATTAGTCGCTGCACGAGGTCATCATTTTCCTGCCCATGCTCTTGGCAGAGCAGCTCAATCTCTCTCAGCTTCCCGAAGTAGAAATCCCTTTCCTTTTCTGCACCTTCAAGGGCGAGTTTTAATGAATGTACCTGTAAGAGGGCGAGGGTAGGGAAGAAAACCCCAAATATGTAAGAAAAAGGAAGCAAGCAAGCAATTATGACTGTGTATAAGGACCCAAAACACGTACGAGAGACATGGAGAACAAGTGGCAAGTCTGAGGGAGACAACAGAGCTGTCATCTGAGTTTCAGCTGGGGCCAAAACATCCAATTTCAGGAGCACACTGGTCATTCCTTTCAATTGAGTGTTTACTGACTAGAATCCTTCCTCTTGCACCATGCTACCCAGGCTGAAGGGAGCCTCTTCTGCCAGTGTGGGCTGGACCACATCTTTCTTCTAATTTGTTGTCACAATCTGAAGGTTTGTGCGTTCCCTTTCTCCTCTGTTGACACACTAAACCCAATATGACAGCATTTGGAGGTGGGGCTTCGAGTTCATAAGACAGGAGCCTCATGAATGGGATTAGTGTCCTTAGAAAAGAGAGACCATTCATTTTTTCAGCACAGAAGCCACAGTGAGAAGGCAGAATTCATAAGTTCTCTCTAGACACTGGATGCAGATGACTCAATCTTCAACTTCTAAAACTTCCAGATTTATTTCCAGAGGAATAAATTTGCTGTTTATAAACAGCCTGGCTTATGGTATTTTGTTATGGCAGCCTGAATAGACTAAAATAGGAAAAGAGAAGAGAATGGGAGGAAGAGGAGAGGTGACAGAGGGGTTCTAAGTGTGATCAGATTCTTCTGAGGACCCTTCCTTTAGCACCCCTGCACTAAGAACCTTACTTTTAGATCCCTTCAAAAATGATACTGAACCAAAAATAGATAAATGCTGTCTACCCAGAAATTAGTTCTCAGAGAATGAGGAGAAACAAACGAGAGTAAAAGGCTGACTGGGTGGATCTGTCTGCGCTTCTGTGGTCCTGGCTCTGGTCGCATCACTGGGAAGGTGGGATGCCATGGAGGCTCTACCTCCTCATCCAAACAGCTCTCATTTCCTGTTTCCTGCTGATTAAAGGCTCTTGTTACGCCCTGCGGCATCTCATACTTTTTACACGGCAGTGGTGGTGGTGCACTAACAACGTTAAGCAGGACCCATGGTGCCTCTGCTGAAGATGCACGGGGAGGGCAGGGCGTGGACAGACCTGGCTTCACTGTCTCAAGTGGCCACGCCCCTGAGAATGCAGCAGCTACACACAGGCTCCAACATTCACCCTGTGCCTGGTCCCTGAGAAGCCATTCCCTTTTTAAAAATACTGTTCATTTATATTTATGTATAATCTTTGGCATATATATTAAGGCATTAGGGGGGCTTTGTGTAAGCTTCAGGGACAGGAAACAGAGGGAACATTCGCATCATCAGATCACCGGAGAAATGCATCTGCAGTAAGTGTTCCTTAGGTGACAACTCTCTTCCAGAACATTAAAAATCACCCTTAAAAGTGTTTTCAAAACACTTTTGAAAACAAAAAGAAAACAAATTACGTTTGGGCTGTAAAATTTCCTTTTTATAAGTCTGTATGTGCTATTTGTCTGGAATCACTGGTTCATTCAAAAATACACGGAACACACGCTGCGGCCATTGGTTTGTCATACACCTGGCAAAGTCAGATCTATCCTAAGACCTAGGAATAAGGCCTTTCATTGTTAACCTCACTAACATGCACTCAGGTACCTAGGCATGGAGGGTCAGTTAGCCAACTCTTTTATCTTTTATTCCTGTTAATATTAGACCATGGACATGTGCAAAAACGGATGGCAACCAGCTTGAATTTCAAAAAAAAGAGAACCTTTATTCTAGGAAGCCTTTCCTGCTTTAAGTACACAAGCCACCTCTTTGTGCTCAGCCACAGAATCCATGTCAACCCTGTTGGTGGCACCAGACAGATCTGTGATATAAGATGTGCCGTCATTTGCTAGCTTACCCTAACCAAGCAAGGACAGAGTCAACTCAAGGAACTTAGGTCTGTGTGCCTCCTGAGCGCTCTGGTTTGCACAGTGAGGCCCGCCAAGCCTTGGTGGTGTTCCAGATGTGTCAGGTAAGAGGTGTGCAGCTATAAACATTCCCTAGTAAAAACTGTCAGCAACTACATGATACGATGAAAGATCAACTGGCAAATTAAATTTCATTTTCATGGCCTTTCACAAAGACTGATGCCAGGCGCACCCCTGTCATGTCATGGCAGACGCCTGAGTGATAGAGGAGGTGCTGGAGAGGCACGCTCGGGAGGAAGCTTGGAACAGTCAAGGGTGAAGGCCAACAGAGGGAAAGTTCCTTTCTTACAGTTTTCCAAAGTCCTCTAAGAGTGTCCACAGGTTGCTGGTCCTCCCAAGGCTTGTGGTTCACACGCTGGTCACAGTCGCTACCTGGGTTAATCCATGCCCACCTTGTCTCTGCCAGCAGTTCTTGAGCCCAGCACTGACTTCAACCCACTTCCTGTTGGCTAACACATGGTCCAGCAAGCGTCCCTGCTGTCTGTCTTTTCCACCCCTGCATCTTTTGATTCACTTCTATCACTGGGATTGTCTAGCGCAGTGTTACTTTTATAGTATACCATGGGAGATTGTCTGAATAAAGGCATGAGGCCAAGCAAATGAAAATTCTTAAAGTTTACAGCACTTGTCACTTTCTCTATTACTACTATAATTCATGCTTCCACCTAAGCATTTCCACTTGGCTCCTCTGGTCCTGGCATTCTTAGCTCCATCTCTGTGATGCTTGTGTGGCCAGCCATGAGCCTCAGGGGGGCCTTGTGTAAGTTTCCGGGACAGGAAATAGAGGGGGCATTTGCATCGCCAGGTCACCAGAGCAATGCATCTGCAGTTAGTGCAGATCTTCATAAAGGCCTCCCCGTTTAGGACGTGTCTGCCACTCCCCGACACAGTGGGCCGAGGGTGGGCACGCTTCTCCCCAGTGTGAGGCATCCGGGGCAGGAAGGGCACGAGCAGCCTCTTATAATAATGGGAGAACAAGAGCAAGAAAGGCCCAGGAGCTGTTCTTCTCTTCTCCCTCGCTGCTCTCTCTAGAGTGGGGCTTCGGACGGCAGGCTGGTGTGGCCGAGGCATTCTGGAGGTCTCTTGTTTATGATCTGACTCTCTGATGAGAGCCAGCCCCAGCCGGACAAGCAGGCTGGCTGCTAGGCTGTGAGGGACAGGGGAGGTAGGAAGGACCCTGGGGTTTCCAAGTGGCCAGAGTTTGGGCTAGAGGGCTGGAAACCTGGGTGTGGTGGAGAGAGAACCCAGCAGGGAGAGGAATCCTGACATGGATGAGGCGACAGTATCAGGAGAACCTGTGTTTCTTTGAAGAGCAGAGGCCTAAATGCACAGTATCACTAACCCATGCCAGATTCTCTTCAGTTCAACTTCAACTTGCTTGCAGCCGTAGGCTTGTGTGGCCCAAGGCTCATTATCACTGTCCTTACTGCCTTTTATCGTAGAGAAATTTATTTCTAGAAGCTGTCTTTGGGCTCCCAACTAAGGATCAGTAGTTAATCAGCATATTCTAGTTTCTAAATCAAAGTCTTACTTGCCAGGTGACTTAAAATGTTACCCCTTTTCATTAATGTGATCAAAGATAGTAAAGAAACATCCCTGCTAAGCAACTGCCTGTTTTTAAACTTAGATTCTTGACTACAAATATACAATTATCTCAGAAACTGTGCCCAGACTCTTGCTGGTTCATCAAAGATTAATCACTGGGAACAGCCTGAGGGCCTGAAGTCAAGGTTGCTTTCGCCACAGTAGAGCTGGGATGAAAAATTCCAGCACACCTGGAGGAACGGGGCAGCTTCTGTGGTGTCCCCAGGCCCTCAGTGTTTTATTACACTATATATAATCACAGGCAAAAGGAGCTATTGCTAGTTAGAAAGTGGACCTAAACTTTTATATTGGAAATTTCAAAGCCAGTAGAGTTAGGTTTACTGTATTAAATAAAAAGGGAAAGTTCTACTTAAAATACTGCTTGCTGTAGCCTCTCAGATCTTCCCAGTCCTGGCTTCAGTGCTCTCTGGGAACCCAACTTCTGCCACTGGGAGAAGGACAGGGTTTTAGTTTTGCTTGAATAACAATTTCCTATGCATAATTGCAGCCTAAAGGAAGGGGCGGTATCTCTCCTGCTTCTATACTACTACTGGGATTAAGCAAAGCATCTGTCACATAAAACAGGCTCCATAAATAGTTGCTGAAAGGAAAGAAAAAAGGGAGGGAGGACAGGGAATGAGAAGGAGCCTGACCCTAAAGCAGACTTTAATACTCTCCAGATTGGCCCAAAGTGGGGAGGACAGATCGCAGTCCAGCCTGGAGCTCGGGACTGCCACTGAGGAGCAGAGGAGGAGGCCAACACGCAGGCCTGTAGCAGCACTGACCCCTCTGTTCCTTCCTAATGTACAGCTCTAAGATGTGTGACTAACATCTTTCATTCATTATGAGTCCTGATTTTATTTTACTGGTTACATGGTCTCCAATTTTACAGCGTATTTCCAGCTTTACAGTTCTCCATTTTCCTGTTTTCTGACACATTTGTAAGAGGCAAAGGTTATAAAGGAAGGTATGTGACAGGTGTCACAATTCCTTTTATTTGCTTTTGCTTGAAACCACTGATTCTGCCTTCCCTTCCTGAGCCCAGGCCTGTGTGGGTTTGGCCTCCCCACCCCTTAGATATATGACAGCTTCCAGAGATAAAACAGAGACGATCAGTTACCTGCTCATTAAGCTGTATGACCTGTGTTTCTAAGTCTTTATCAGACTTGGATGCTGAGCCACTGGACGAAGCCCTTTTGGCAGACGAGGGACGAGAAGGTGTGGAACCCGGTTTAGATGCTGGACTCGATTTAGCCGCGCCTGAAAGCAACCAGAATACACTGTAAGCAGTGACAACGTTAACATGATTTTTAGCTATACGGCCAATCTATGGTATAAAAAGCAATTTATAAAAAGTACCAGGGATTCAGTGATCTAACTAGAGAAGAAGCACAAATACGTTTAAAAGAACTGCACGTGATTAAACTGCAGTGTTATACAGGGTAACTTATTAAACTTTATAAGAACATTTTTTTTTTCCTCAAGTAACAAGAGGTTAATGCAGGAGTGCCTTCTGCCTCCAGAGAGAGAAGAGTAACACCTAAGAGGGATTTCAAATTTTTTTTAAGAAGAAAGGTTTTTAGGTGACTTCAAATTATTACCCTTATGAGTTGCTAACAAACAAGGCAAATTCCTTATAACAGATTAGTACTTTACAAGAAACACTAAGATGCCTATTTTTCCTTTTTTCATGTATTTTTCCAGCTTCAGTCAATAAGAGTCAGGTGCAAAGGCACCTCCACACCTGTGAGCATCCTGATGCCCTAATCTTGATTTCTAAATGTCACTGTGCACAAACTGGCTTCTTGAGAAATCGCTGACCCTGGAATGGAGCAGGGAATATAGTGGATGAACCCAGGACACTTTGGGTCAAAAAGCAAGGATGTACTCAAGTACTGCTGTCAAAAGGACACATGAAACTGCTTGAGGAGCTCCTGGCCAGCCACACAGGGACAGTCTGCACATCAGGAGGATTAATGGCTATAACTTACTGTGATGCTGAAACAGAAAAATCTATCAGCCCATACTGGGGGGTGAAAGGGCAGGAGGAGGAAAAGAATGTAAAGATCTTTACAGAACAGCAGCATTCAGTAAATATAGAAAAAATGTTAGCAAAATCACAGTTTTGCATTATCCATAAACTATAGCTGATTCCTAAAGGTTCATCAAAACATTAAATGAGAAGTTCTAGAGGAAGAGGATAAATTCCTATGTGTCAAGGTGTCACCCTATCATGCATCTTTACAATGGGGACCTGGGACCTTAAACCAGAGATCCAAGGGGTCTCTCTCATCATGACATAAATTCAAAACCAAAGAGCACTGCTTTCGGGTCAGCCCTTACCTCTCTGGCACTGGGCTCACTCACAGTGGACTCTCAGACTGTGGCACAAACACAGGAATGGCTTGTACAGGCAAGGCAGAAATCACAAGGTCTGCACAGGGAAGCTTGTGTGCTCTGTGGGTTAATCTTCTGCAGAGATCTTCCTCTCCCTTTTACTGTGGCCACAGTCCTAGGCAGGAGCTGGCAGTTTTCACAGGAGCAGGCGACCCTCCTGTGTGCCCCGATGGCCTGATTATTCCCCACTACATGACCACACCCTGCCCATCCAGAAGGCTCTTGGAGGGTAAAACATGTCTTATTCCTTGTAACCCAAAAGCACTGCACAGTGCTTGACTGAACAGACATTTGGTGGAGGAACAAATGTTTAAATAAACACATGAACAAGCAAATAAAACCTGCTTATGTGGCTTCCAATTTTAGTGTATTTCCAACTTAGAGTTCTCAATTTTGCTGTTTTCTGACACATTCAAAAGAGGTAAGGGATTATAAAGGCAGCAGCTACAAGTTTCAACCAATACTCTAATTACAGTATAGCCAACAGGAAAACTATAAAATTGTATCTGTTTGTCTTCAGGTGCCTGGAGTCATTAGTTACAGATCGAAGACAAACACACCCTTGAGAAGCACTGACAGCATTATAGCTGTTAAATACTTGTACATGCCACTCTGTTGCATGGGGTAAAAACATCTTTAAAAATTAGGGAAATGCTCACTATACTTTAAAATGGAAAAACTAAATTGGGAATGATTTAAAATAGTCTTGAATGTCCCAAGAGTACATCTGCAGGGACCTGGAAACCTCATCTTCGCAAAGGCATCCTGGAAATTTCGGGGCATTGGGATTTGCTTATCTGTGACTGGTGCACAGCTCCAAGGCTTTGTAGAAGCCTACAGAGAACACTAGTGGGATAGTGTGTCTGTCTCCGTGTAGTCATTTAAGAACTCCCGGGCATGGCATCCTCAGCAGTCTCAGAACGAGCTAGTGTCCTATGACTTCACGACTATCCTGTGGGACTTGGCTACATTCACCTCTCCTAGCTCCCACACCTCCTCTGAGCGACTACCCCTGCTGTTCAAGTCTAGAGGTCCCTTTTGGGTGGCCACAGCATTCACGCACTTTCTCAGAGGCTGCACTGAGTGCAATGGTAGCCACGATGTAGGAACTGCATCTGCTTTGTTTGCCAGGTTATATCCCTGTGGCCAAGCACAGCGCCTGACACAAACATGGTCCGTAAAGGTTTTGAGGGTTCATTAGACAACTCCTAGCAGAGGGATCATTCTAGCACAGACACCAGGAAAAGCCTATAGAGCTAATTATGTCAAAGTCATTGGTTACAAGAGCTGGCAGCACATGAAGGTGACCAACAAAAGGTGTCACTCTCCCAGAAGAAGACTTCTTCCCTGGTTTCCTTTTGAGGCTGCCTGGTGTTACCACGCAGGCCCCTTACCCGTGGGCTCAAGAGAACAGGCTGTGTGGGCACACACAGTCGGTCAGTGCCTGAGTGGGGAAGAGCCACATGGCTGGCCCTGGGCTAAATCTCTGCCATGGTGACTTCCCTCTCCTGACAAGATCCCTGCACAGGAGCTTTGCTCGGGCAGCCCTCCACGAGGCAGGGCAGCAACTATGCTGTGGCTGGTTACGGTAACTAAGTGTGGCTCGTCAGACACACATATGTTCTTAGCCTCTGCCTTAGGTCTGACCTCAATTCAAAAGAAACACAGGAGGAACAGAAGCTAACTGCCTGTAACACAGGGCCATCACTAATTATGTTTTCAAGGTATGGAGTGCTGCTTAAAAAAAGGTACAAGTGTCTGATGGAAGGAGGAGGAAGAGAAGGGGCTACGGAAGCTAAGCCCCAGGGCACAGCCTGCCAGGGGCAGGAGCCAGGAAGCAGCACAGGAAGCTGGTGGGGAGACTCAGAGGGCAGTGCAGACAGCTCAAGGTGGCTCACAGCAGCGGGGACAGAGCCGCTGCAGTCAGTGATGCGCACGTGGTTCCCGCCTGGAGGAAACACATGGCTGCTGCCTGAGCCCCTCTGCAATCTGTCCATGTCTGACTCCCCAAGCTGTACTCCCAGAGCCTCAACAGTGGCAACTGTGCTTCTCCAATTCTGTAAAAGTCATTTGGGGCCCAGGGCCCGGGTCTCTCCCCCTGGGCCACGTGAACGTCCTGTATGGATGGATACCCCGAGACTGGAAAGGGAAAGGCAGGAAAACCTGACACGGTGTCCTCGAATGCTCCAACTCACACACCAGGGAAGAGGAGCCCCTCCCCTGCCCTTCCCGGCAACACGGTGAAGGCAGAACAAAGGAGGAATGGAACAGGACACACATTTGAAAACCCAATGACAGATCGATTAAATAGCCACTGATATTTAAAATTAGAGGGGTTCTGAAATTCTACTAAGTTGTTTGGAAAGAAACTGATAGCAGGAAATAAATGATAAATGAGGACGTCAGAGGCTGGCACTAATTAACTGTACATCTGTACCCCTCTAATGAATAAACTAGAAGACATTAAAACACAGGAAAGATGGCCGGAAGAATGTTCTCGTTATCAGGTTAAGGGTTTTTAAATACACAACTCAGGAGTTAACTCAAAGCTGGTCTTCAGAAGAATGTAGACTGAGAGCTTTAAACTCTCCAAGCTACAATTTGATATGAAGTAATTTATTCCTCCACAACTGCCACATGATTCACATACACTAAGAAATACTAAATGGAAACACACAAGATAAAAATGAAACCACTGGGCCTCCTTATACTCAATGATTCTACGTTTTACTTTTTAGAATTATTAGCAGTAATAACATCTAAGGTATACATTATATTGTCATATCCCTTGGATAGCATGGAACGAATTCTATCTGTATTACAGATTTTACTGTTTTTTCTCCCATCCCCTGAAGTGTACTGAGCTTCTGAGGACACATGTTTTTTTCTCACTTTGTCAGTCACTATTATAAGGATGGTATCAGAAAATCACACATTTTAGACAAGGGGAAAGAAGAGGAAGGGAGGGCGGGCTGTCAGGGTGGGTAATGGGAGGGATGGGTATGAGCGAAATATACACATTGAATCTCCCCAAATGTGGAACTAGGAGGAAAGACAGGCCTAGGGGGAGGACATCAGGGGGAATGTGGCCCAAAGTATGTTTGTGCCTGTACATAACTAAGAAAAAGAAGCCCATTAACTGTATGCCAACTTTAAAAAAGGAGAAAAAAAAAACCCTATAAAAGAAGGAAAACTGTACAGTTCCCAGTGTCAATGAATTTCACATTGGCAAGATACTTCTACATAAGCTACTGCCTGCACTGCATCTTGTGAAGTGAGCCCACGGTGTACTGCAGTGTTTAACCCTGGCTCTAAGATAGTGAGGTCCTCGGGAGCTGCTTTCTTGTTCCCCAGAATGCCCCACTCCACAGGGATTCTCCTTCTGGGCCTTGCTCTGGCTCCTCCCTCAACAGGACTTAGTGAAAAACACTTACCTAATAGCTTCTGAAGACAGTACAGCTACTCTGGCTACAACATAGATACACATTTTTCTCTTACAGCTATTAACCATTTCAGCTTCTTTCCAAGGTGTGTTTGATGATATCCTGAAAACATAATTAGCAGTAGCCTTGTTTTACAAGCAATTGTTTTGCTCCCAAGCTTTTCTCTTCCTCCTTAATTTTCCCTTTCAAAATAAAAAGGAGTTTCAGAAGCAGAGGAAAACAGACATAAATTCTATACAAGTCCCTGTAATTCTCTGAATTTGCCCACTGGATATGGACATGATTCACAATGGTAGCTTTTGAGCAGTTGTGTCTTAATGAATGCCTTTAGGATTTGGGGTATAAATATGATTCTAAGACATTTTAACCATAGTTATAAAAAAAAAAAAAACCAGAGAGTGACTGGCTTGATTCACTGTC